CCTGTGATGAAAATTGACTATTTTTATAGAGATACGATATGAATGTGTTGATTTGATGCCGCTGATGGCAACAGTGTGTGTGTCCACTAACTAATCTATTTTCTGTGTCGATTCTATCTGGTGGCAATAGAAATACAATGTGTGGGATATATCGTCGAAGCGAAAGAAGTAAGGATATCGTTAAGAGCGGGAAAGCATACTCACCTAAGAGGTCGCGAGGTAGCAGGATACCACAATGATAAAATGATACAATAATTCGAATAATATGCAATTTGAAATCCTTTATAGATTAGCTATAACAGCTACAAGTACTCCTTCAGGAATACACACATTAAAGTGCCTACATAAAGTATTTCTTTTGACATAGCTCACCTTAGCGATATTTTATACAAGAGTAAAGAAAAAGCTGAACGTGTGTATCCTTTTATTGAAAATGTATTCATAAATCAAGATACCGAAAACTCATAGTGTAATAGCTATTGCGAATGGACGGTGCACAGACCGCTGAGTTTCTACTAAGAAGTTGACCAAATGCACAACATATATATATATATAACACAAATGCTGAAACTTTAACATTATGTTATACTAACCTAAGGGGGAGAGCCAGACATTACGCCATCGCATCGCGTCGATGAAATAGCCACTGCATCATAATTACCAGCAGTGCAGACACACACCAAAAGAAGAGGTATCCATACCGCCAGCCTAACTCTGGCATGTACTGAAAGTTCATGCCATAGACACCTGACAAGAAGGTACACGGTGTAAAGAGAAGCGCAACCCGAGTTAATACCATCATAAGCTCGTTGGAGCGGAAGGATTGAAGAGAGATATGTAAGTTCAGAAGCGTCTTAGCATCTTCACGAACTTCCAGAGCGCGACCCCTGAGCTCTATACAGTTACTACACATCTGCTGCGCCATCTCCTTACTGCAGAGCTGTAGTTTAGTGAAGGCCTGCGCCAATACTTCCTGAGTAACATTCAGCATGCGGTGCTGCACACTCGTACGGCGGTGTAAGTGGTGCAAAAAGTTGTTCAATTCACTTTTATCAACGGGAGAGTTACCCTTGGTGTCGAGTAACTTGCGTAGAAACGATGAGCGTGAGCTGTCCGTGAAGTGGTTGAGGATTCGAAGATCATCCATCGACTTACGATTGCTGAGATTTTTTGTACTGTTTGCGTTCGAGGCATCGTAGACAAAAAGCTTCCTCTCGCACTTATCCAGCAGATCCGCATGCACGTCCAAGCTAAACTGGTAGGTGCGCATCGCATCATCAATGATCTTGAGCAGAAACTCCTGGAACGATACCGCACTGGATTCCATCACCTTCCGCCACTGATGCCGCAACTCCGCCATACTTGTGGTATCCATGCGGTGTAGGGTAATGATGATGTGCTGCCGCAGGTCCACAATGATAATCCAGCGATTCGTCAGCTCCAGTATAGAGTCGGCGGAGGTACTGATTTCTTGCGTCGCGACGCGCAGTAGAAGCAGATACTGTCCTGGGTAGTTCAGGGACTCCAACACCTGCGGTACCATCAGGTTATGTTCCCGGGTATCCAAGAAGGACTTGCAGATGTTAAACTTTTTCGTTAAGTTGCCCAGGACGTTCCGGTAGTTGCGCCGCCCGGGATCACACCCGGTGACATCCACCCAGTACCAATTGAGACTCTGCTCGAGGTAGGATGACTTCCGCTGTGAGCTTTTGCTGTGGGAAAGGTTCTCCCACAGGCGTGACTCCATAAGTGACTGGGGCTGTCTTGGCTGCCCTCCCTCGGAGAGGGCTGGGGCCTCGACCGGAAGCTCCGTGTTCACCCCAGACGCTAACGTGGACCCGGCGCGGCTACGACTCAGCAGGGCTTGAGAGTGGGTTTCTAAATTTGAGTGATGATGCGATGATTGGATCGTCGAGACACCCTTGTGGAGAAAAAGCGGGTCCCGAATCTCCTCTTCCTTTAGTTCGACATCGCTGAAATTCACCCCAGAGGCACCACGACTATTGAAGTATGTAACGTGGACCACATCGCTGGACAACAGGGGTTTTCGCCTCAGGTGACGCAAGGTGGCAGTTTTCGCACCGACATCCATACCGTAGCCCCTCCAAAGTGATTTCTTAAAGGTTCCGTACTTATTTAGATCGCCAGGTACAGGCATACCAAAGGTCCCATCTACCCGGTTCCGGGGCCTCTTTGGTGAGCTAATGGCATTTTCCGCGTCCGCCAACAATTGAGCCTTCTCATGCATCTGCATATCTTTTTCGTCGAATCGGTCACATGGCGAGGCGGGTCCATGCTCGTTAAAACATACGTGTGCTTCTTCACTGCAGCAATCATCGTACCTGGGGCTGAAGGTCTCGGAAGCCATCAGCTCATGGTCGTTGACCTGTAAGTCGCGCCAGACGTCGGCCCGTGGAACGATAAAGCGACTCCTGCTGCTACTGCTGCTACTAGTACTGCTACTGCTGCTCTCAGAAAACGAGGTATCGCTCGCAGTATTGCTGCCACCCAGGAATGAGCCGTGGTCACTACTCCTGCTATTCAGATTGCTTCCGCTCCCGCCAGACCTTTTTCCACGACGGTGGTTGCTGTCCCTACTGGAGGAGGAACGTGCACCGCCTCCGTGCTTTCCATGGTGACGTCTACCTCGGTGCCGTTCTGAGCGCCCCATCCCTTTGTCCCTATCATCGATAGATGATGGTCTCGAGGCAAAGGGTAAGTCAAGAATTCTCTGCTTTGCCTGAGTGAACTCTTGCATAGTAAGACACCCCTGTTGATATAGTTCCTGAAGGGCTTTAATACTCTCAACAATTTGCATAGGTTGCTCGACATGTGTGTGTAGCTCCGTTAGGCGCCGTTTCTTGTTGCTCGTATTGCTATGGCAACTCGTGGTGGGCTCTATCACACGCTCATGGATACCACTACCGTCCAGTGGGGGAGCGTCAGGGGAGGAATCCGACTCGCTTTCTCGTTCGGCCATCTGATTTCAGTTGATTTTTAAAAAGATAAACTCTATGCGTTTAAGACTACTTTATACTTTCACTTTTAAGCGTTTTGTATACTATGTAAAGTGAACCTCAGAATTGTCCCTCCCCCACGCACACACACACACAGCAATAGAAATACAGAAAGAGTATACACATTTATGGAAAGAGGTCAAATCATTCACCACTACATAGCCTTTACACCCCATAGGCAAATACCAAGATTGACGAAGTCAACGAAATTGAATACTAGCATATTTCGTAGATAACACGGAAGAATAGTTCATCGATCCTCTCGCTCCGGGATCCCATCCTTTTAGTGCATCTTCTCTCTCCCTTTTGTAGTCACATTTCAGACTGAAAGCTTTTTCCTTCATGCACTTCAATTCTTTTTTCCCATATCATGAACTGACAGTGAATCATTCTTGTAATCCGTAAAGAAAGAAAATTTATGTATCCCAAGACCTTTTGTCAGGACCCTAGCACCACTACACCTACATACAAAAAGAAAACAATCGAGTGAATCCATAAAAGTAAAAATCTTTAAACATGATTAGCCTCCCCCCGCATGTCTACGACCTTTTGACAGCTATAAATAATCTCCCCGCTCCAAGGGAGATTTTTATCCCTGTGGCTCCTAATTCCCACGGCTTCTGCCTCCTCTTCCCCCTCCACGTCGTTCGCGTCGGTTGCTCGCACCGCCAGTTGCCCCGGCATCCGTGCCCCTACCCTCGTCGTAGTTGCCCCCCCCACGGGGGTGATTCCGTGGGTGGTAACCACGGGCATCGTTGTTATGGCGTCCCGCACCGCGATAGCACTGCTGAACTTGGTGCTGGTTGGTGTCCATATACATCTTCCACGAGGTATTGTTGAGGTTCGTACTGGGGACCATCATCTGGGGCGGCGCAATATAATGCATGGAGGGATTCATCGTCTCCACCACACCACCACCACCGCGGCGCCCGCCGACGTTGAAAGCAGCACGGTTACCCCCACCGTCCTCCGTCTGCTGATTGCTGTGAGGGGGATGAAATTGGCGGTCGCTTGAAGGACCAGCTGAACACGCCGAAGAAACTTTGCGGGGCGCCGGCGAACTGCTGGCGAGATCGAAGCTTACCCAAGTGTGTTGGGGCGCGTTCGTCAGCGCCGGCTTCTCCGGCACTTCGGCGGCCGGCTCAATCTGCTTGGGAGGACGCGTCACGCTAACGTTGTCGGCGTCAGAAAGCTCCACATCGTTCTCATCGCGTTCGACAAAGAATCGGAGCACACGCTCTAGTGACTCGTCGGATACCACGTGAGAAGAACGCAGCTTCCCTAAGATGTGCGACTTGGCAGGCACCGACTGCGGTGGCGCCCTTTGCTGGAAGGCATCGCACACTTCGTAGACCTCCGCGATCAACGCGAGCTCACGCTCCAGGCGATTGGGGCCATCAACAGTGATCTGAAGCAGTGGGATACAGCTTTTCAAATAATCACGCTTCTCTAGGCTGTTTATCTCCGCCAGAAGGACTGAACTAAGGACCTCGGCCGCCAACGTGTAGTCATTGCGTAAACGTGGTGATGTGCGCAACTTCTCAAATAGACTTTCAATATTTGGCGGCGACCCGTGGATAAGGGTATAGTATATGTCAAACTCAAGGTTATTACGCCGCACATCAGCAAATTCCTCCATTTGTGGCTTCTTAGTCGTAGGACTGTTTGCGTTACCATAAGATATCTCCTGACAGATCAGTGGGCGGTATCGAAGGAATCCACTCGACTCATCCGAGGCAATGAGATGATTCTCTTGCGATTGCACGTAGCCATACCATTGACCTACATCGACAAGGTAGGGCCGCACCGCGCTAGGGTGACACTCCAACAAGTATTCCAACCCACCCTCCAAAAGTTCCTCGTCCAGCACGACCCGCCTAGGATCGGAAAGCACTGTCTGAGCCCAAAACTTGAAGAGTCTCAGGTCTTCGTGCAGCTGTGCGTTCAGCGCACGCTCGAGGCTGTCAAAGATGAGCCCGCGCAGTTGTGTTCGCTGGTAGCGGGATTCATTTCGCTGCAGCACGAGCGACAGCAGCTCCCCTGTCATGAGGCGATTTGTTTCTTCCCGTACAACAGAAAGGCATCGGTCGGCCCATATCACGAGTATAGGTAATATATCGTCATATGTAGCCAGCCAGCTATCCAGCATATCACTCATTCGCACGACGCCGTTCTTGAGTAGTGCCATATCCTTGGCAATCGTCTCTGCCTTCGGGGCTGTTTTGGTGTGAGTTTGCGCAGGCAAGGAGACAGGCATGGGATGGGGACCCGCGGTTGGTACCCGTTGTTGCTTCAGTTGGAGATTGGTACTTCCCAACGAAAGAGAGTCCCCGGCTGTGGGCGGAGAACAGATGCCAAGGCCGACCTTGTTCCGGCTGCTGCGGGGGGCGGGGATGGACCCGGAACTGACCACTGGGGTCTCGTTGCCACCCTGATCGATTGCCGGCCGCGGCACGGAGACGGAAGTGTTGGGGAAAGCACCGCTGGAACTACACAAGGACTGACCGATGTTCAGCCGATTGATTGGTGGCTCACACACCCTCGCCAGAGTTTTATCCTTCGGCGACACGTTTGCAGGCTCGAGGACACCACCGTTGGAGGGGGAACTCACAGAATGCGGCCCCAAACTCGGTAGCCGGAAAACTGAGGTGGGGCTCTGCAACGTTCCGGCAGCAAGGGAAGGTACTTGTGAAGCTGATGCAGTTGATGCTGAAGACACGTCCGCACCCGAGAGAGTCATCCATAAGGAAAGCTTTTCGACTTCCTTCATCAACAGGTATCTACAGCGGCTAACAGTGTGACATTCGCACCAGTACTGCAAGGTATACAACAATTGTGGGAGCATGTCGCGTCCCTTCTTTGTCTTCACAAAGAAAGACGCGCCAACGACACCAGCGGCAGCGATGATCTCATCAATCTCCACTTCCGTTGGCATATGTGCTGGAGGCATGGTAAACGTGCCATCCGCCGATCCCGTGCAACAGGTCAGAAAAATGAAGGCGATGATAGTCTCGGGGATGACATCGCACATAAATAATTCGCTGACAAACCGCACGTTTCCCGTCATAACGCGCCGTTTCTTCGTAAGCTCATCCTCATTCAATATTGCACTGTCATTTTCATCTTCCTGCACACCTGAGAGGAACATCTGCTGGCACCTTGGTAGTAGGGCGCGCCGCATGCGATACTCAGGGCTCAGGGTCTTGTCTCCTATGATATGTTGACCCTGAGGGACCTTGCACAGCGCTGCCATCAGCTCCGCATACGACCTCGAGAAGTGCTGCTCATAAACTGCCTTCTTGAAGAAAACACCGACGATAGAATCAAGCTGCTCCGCATTGGCCTCGGGAATAGGAAGACGTAACAACTCCTTCTTGACCTCCTGGAACTTTTCGGCATCGGTGGTGACCTTGTTAAGTACGGAAAGCACCATATGGTGTATCTCTTTTTTTGAAGCTACACCAAAAATACCTCGTCGCCGCAACGGCGCATACACCGCAATAGGGATTGCCTTACGGTCCTCCCAGATAGTCTCCATAGCTTGTAGCGCGGTCTGCCCCGTGGGAATTACCTCTTTATCAAAGACGGAGCCGCTGCGACCGCTATACCCTCCCATGTGATGATCGAAAGACGAGGAAACGCCGGCATTAAGGGTAAAACTGCTGCCTTGAGAAGCCACACGTCCGTCCTTGTTATCAAGGTCTCCCTGCCGCTTCCCACCAAAGAAAGCATCACCTCCAAATGAGGAGGCTGCTCTGATGCCACTGAAAGAGTGGGTCCTGGGAGTAGTAGCCTTTGCCTGTATTTGTGATCGTCCAGTGAGATTCGCCGTCGTGGTGTTGTCCTCCATAAAACCGTGTTTCTTAATGAACTCTGCGATACCAACAGGGCAATTCGAACGACAGTCGCGGTAATTTGCCATCCATTCCACCATTTGATGTGGATCGTAGGCGATGCACAACTCCATGCTGGTGAGGATAGGCAAAAGACTCTCGTTAGTCGTTTCTTTACTAGCTTGCGGCTGGTTTGTTGAACCATTTACCGCCTTTTCAGTCTCTTTCTGCACATCCACGCTGCCATTGATCAAAGCTTGATCTATTGTTAAAGGAGTGGCAGGAGTCGGCTGCGACTTCGCCGATGGAAGGGGCAACTCAGGGCTCCCACCCTCCATGCTCGTGGGCTTGTCATTGTCGCTGGCCACCTTTTCGGGCACAACCTGGGCGTCGTGATAGTGGGGAAGCATTACTTCTCGAACCTGTAGCTTCGCAACGGTTGATGGAGGAGAAGTCCGAAAGCCTTGCTGGGGAAAGCCCAACTCGTCAGAATCAACGGGCAGTGGTGAACCAACTTGAGTCCCGCCACGATACACGTCATCGATAGAGTGGGGAGGTGATGCGCAGTGGGACTTCACGAGTGGTGCCACCGAGATCTCTTCCGTTTTTGGACCCTCATTATTTTGAGGGGCACTGGCTTCGGTAGGTTCCTTTCCATTATTACTGAGGGAGATGTCGTTAGGGTAAACGCCAAAGGTTTGCCGTGGGGCGTTGAGGGTTTCCTGGAGAGCAGGGGGCAACTCAATGTCATAAGCAGGATTGGTCAAACTGCTGGGGAGAGAGTTGGTGCGATTAAAGGGCTGCAGGGTTCGAAAGGCGTCCTCCATAGCCTAGGGTTTCGTTTACGGTAGTTGAAATTCCCTTTTTCCTCCTGCTCCCTTTGGTATTGCGTTGGTGAGTGATAATGGTGCTTGATTATACTATGTATATTTTTGTATTTCGTTACAAGTGGTATTGTCCTTCGTTACAAGTATACTCGTAGGGTATATCTACACACAGCAGAATAGGATAGTAAGGGGAAAAAATCCACAGACTGCGCTTCTTCTTACCTCACTTTGGAAGTATTTGTGTTTGTATGTGTTAGCGATGGAAAAGTTTTCCGGGCGGGGAAGCCAAGAATTAATTGAGTTATGCCAGGTGGTAGGAAACTCACACAAAGGACCCTTAAAATACTTCTCGTGGGCGAGTACAATTCACTCGTACAGAAAAGCTGAAAAACGAAATGATTTCGTCCTCCTCAGCAAGTTAGATTCTTTCCTCAGTCTTGTGAATAGTGTAAGTATAAACGATTTACTCGAATTCAAGTATGATTCTTGAAGGTTAGCAACAGAAGGCCGATGAAAAACCTAAAAAAAATCTTAGAATAATACGAAAGAAGAAAAATACGAAGTTTTCTAGAAGCAACTAATATAAATTCCTTACAAACTTGTAACCTAAT